AAAGCCTTTGCATTGTGGTACTGGAGAAGAGCACTGAACAAACCAAGAACTGCCCAGAGAACAAACAGGTCTGTCCTGGAGAGGGTGAAACTAAGTTGCTCCTTAGAGGCAAGAATTTTTTTTTTAGAGGCAAGAATTTGAAACTCCGTCTCATATACTTTGGGCACATTGTCCGGAGGGGCCAGTTCTTGGAGAGGACAGTGTGCTTGGAAGGGTGGAGGGTCAGCTCAGGAGAGGAAGTCCCGGACTGAGATGGAATGACACAGTGACTGGCCATGGGGTCAGGTAGGACAGGGTTCAGCACTGCTGTTCATGGGCTCACTAGGAGTAATGATGTGACAGCAGATAACATCATCAATAGAGCTCAGGGAAAGAGGAGAACTCTGAGCAAGGACTCTCAGAGTGACGGAAGCCCTGGGTGAATGTGCCGGAGGTGGTGGGACGGCGCAGGACAGGACAGCATTCAGATCTGCTGTTCACAGGGTCACTCTGACCTGTACATGACTTGATGGCGCCCAGTGACAGCAGCAGCATCTTTGCAGACATGGCTGTGTTAAGGGTTGCGTCAGTTGTAACAAGTCCCACCACCATGCCCTTAGTGTACAAGCTGAGCCCTCAGCGAGAGTCCTTTGTGGTCCAACGTGCTGCAAGGCCATGTGATTACGTAGCAATGCTCGTCGGGGTAGCAGTGGCTAAACGCTTAACTACAAACCACAAGGCTGGTGGTTTGAACCCACCCATTGTCTCTACAGGCAGAAGGCTTGGCAGTCTGGTCCAGTGACGACTCCCAAGCCAAACTCACTGTCACTGAGGCAATTCCAACCCAGGGAAACCTTGAGGACAAAGACCCTGCAGGAGAGATTCCCTACAAGGCAGGACCCTGTGGGACAGAGACCCTGAAGGACAGAGATGCTGTGGGGCGGAGCACAGAGGTCCCCAAGGTCCTGGCCTTGCCAGAGTAGACTGTCTCCCCCTCCCTTGAGTGGGCTGACGGGTGTGAACTGCTCACCTTTTGGTTAACACCTAAGTGCTGAACTGCTGATGCCCCTGGGCCCACAGTCTGTCAAGTGGACTCTGGGAAACCCCACAGGGCTATTATGCTCTGTCACACGGTTCCACTGTGAGGTGGGAACAAGTCAAGGGCGCCAGCCACGATGACATCCCGTAGTTGTGCTGGCTTGTCCCTGTAACAGGTCTAAAAACCATTTTTTAAAAGTAGTGGCTACTGGGGAGCTCTGGTGGCCTAGTGACAAGAAGCTGCACTGCAATCCCAGAGATATGTGGTTCAAATCCACCAGATGCTCTGCCGGAGAAGGAGGGGCCATCTCCTCCTATACCAGTCAGATCCAATTTGATGGTACACACACAGAGAAAATAATAAAAATAAAAATTAAAAAAAAGTAGTGGCTACCGATGAAAAAGTGCACAGCATAGCTGGCAAGTGCAGTGCAGGCGGACACGGGTTTCCTGACTCACGCATCGGACATTTGGAGCTGGCCTCACGTGTCCCATGGTCATCTTGTGGGGAGAAGAACCTCACACTGCCCAAGGCCAGCTTGCCTCGTAATTCTGATTAAAATTGTCACAGCATTTTTATTCCCAGTTGACAATATAACCATCATTAAAATTTTAGCTTTCCAGATCAAGGACTTCTCCAAAACTGGAATGATTGGAGTACTGAGTGTTTTGGTAAGGTTCCTAGAGTGCTGGTGGTGCAGCGTCCGAGCAGTTGGGAGCTAAGCAGAGGCTGGGCAGTTTGCGGCCACTTCCTTCTCCACATGGGAAAGGTGCAGCTGTCTGCTTGTGAAGACCACACGCTGGAAGCTGGGCCGCACTGTCCTGCCGGTCACCCTGCGTCAGGACCCTAGCCAGCACCAGGCATGGTTAGAAGGTCCCAGGGTGTCAGCACAATATACAAAGTTTTGTTTATTTTAGATTTTTTTAAAACTTAAAAATTGGGATTTGAGGGGAGCTCTGATGGCCTACTGGCAAGAGGTTGCACTGCAGTCCCAGAGGTGTGTGGTTCAAATCCACCAGATTCTCTACGGGAGGAGGGACAATCTCCTCCCATACCAGTCAGATCCATATTGATCACACACACACACACATTAAATAAAAAATTTTTAAAAAATTCGGATTTGAGAAAAAATTTACAAAGCAAATTGGTCTTTTCAGCTCAATCATTCATGCACATTTTATTTCATAGTATCAATTACAAAACCCCCAACATCTGGTCCTGTTTTCCCCACGTTGTCCTTCCCTTCTCCCATCCTCAGACGTGTTTATTACCTGTTCTTTCCCTTCCTCTCTGCTGCCTTTCTGGACACCTCACTAGAGGATCTCTGGCGGCAGACTGTCTTTCTGGCCTGTGCCTGTGGTCCTGCACACACTGGTCTGAGAGCACTGTGATCAACTGGGAAACAACCCCGAGTGCTGCCCAGCAGTCTGTTCATGGCGACCCCATGCCTTTCAGAGTAACCTCTGCTCCTCCAGGCTTTGGCGACCGGCGCAGGACAGGAAGCGCTTGTTGAGTCAGAACTGACCCCCGGCTGACCCTCCAGCAGGTTTCAAATGCTGTAAATCTCATGGGAGTAGCCTGCCCATCTTTCTCCCATGAGCAGCTGACGGATTGGAACCACCTGCCTTTGAGCTGGCCACGTTCCCACCGGGTCAATGGCGCTCCCTCGGGAAGATCTCAGGTGTTGACAAACACGTGTCCTCTCTACAAATCACTGTTGAAAAAGTCAAGATCTATATGAAGAAGTGTCAGGCTGCGTGGGTCTGATGGACGAGGTCCCCACGCCTGGGAGCTTCTGCTGCTGCGGTCATGGCCAGCCTCCCCGGGAGTCTCTGCTTAGGACGCCGGGCCTGGGGCTGATCGCCTCACGTGAGCAGTCTGTCTCCCCAGTGAACACCGTGATTTCTGACTGCACGAGTAGTCAGTGGTGTCCCTAAGCCTGCACTGCTCGGGGCCACCGTGCTGTGCTTACGCCCCGAGGACGCACTCCTGCTGTTCCCAATCCTGCCCAGGCTGCCCTGTGGGATGAGCACATCCCGTTGAAACCACATTCACAAAAACTATTCAAATCCGTTACTGGATTGGAACCGACTCACAGGTGACCCTCTCATGTAGCAAAGCCACTTCAAGGGCAGTTCAAGGCCACCAGCTGCTCCGCAGGAGAAACCTGGTCAACCTCCTCTCAGGTGACTTACAGTCTCTGAAAGACTGCTGGCACATCAGATGGGAGTGGATTTCAACTCAAGGACACAGAGCAAACAACCGAATGGCTAGGGAATTGACTCCCAGCTCGAAGGCTGTTGATTCAAATCCACCAACTGCTTTGAGAGGGAAAGGTGGAAATCTCATCTTATGTGATTTGAGTGTCTGAAAACCCACTGGAGGGTCGGCCGGGCCAGTTCTGACCTCAAGGCAATGATGCACATGTGAGTTGAGCAGACCACGTGGGAAGCACTGGCCATCTTTCTTCTTGGACCTGAACCACCAGGGAAGCACCACCTTGGCAGCAAGCTCTCAATGCCTAGACCCCCAGAGTTCCCCAGCCTACATTAGGATCTCCTCACGTAGATTCCTATAACTCTGTGAGCAAGAGAAACTGATCAAGGACAAACAGCTCTGTGTTGGTGGCAGTGCACCCAGAGTGGTCCTTACAGGCGAGGATGGGAAAATGTCACCTCACTTATTTGGTCACATTTCTAGGCGGATCCAGTCCTTGGAGAGAAACGTTATGCTGGGAAAAGTGGAGGGTCAGAGAAAGGGAGGGAGACCCCAACAGGTGGACTGACACAGTGACTGTGACAGTGGGCGCAAGTGTATCAGAAATGGCAGAGTTGGGGAGGATGTAGACATGGCAGAGTTCAGATCCCCTGTTCACAGGGTCACTGTGAGTCAGTCTGCCGGATGGCTCCCAACAGCAGCTCTGTGAGGAGAAGGGACTGGGTCTCTGCGTTCCTGCAGCTATCTTGTATGTTGTTGTTGTGTACCATGCAGCCAGAACTGACCCATAGCTGACACTACAGCAGGTTTTCAGAGGCAGTTAATTGCATGAGAAAAGATGGCCCAACCCCCTCCTGCAGAACAGCTGGTAGCCTTGAACCGTGTGCCTTTGGGATTGCAGCACAGCTTCTTGCTACTGGGCCACCAGAGCTCCAGTCTTATATAGTTATTATATATTCCCATTTGCTGATCCAAATATTTGGCTTTGCAGAAAATTCAGCCAACTTTGGCTGCTCATGGCACGTTCCTGGCCTTCCCTGCCCACTCCTGTTGGGGCTGTCAGGCCATTCTCTCCTGCTGGGCATCCATGCCCCAACAGCTCTGCATGGACATTTATTCAACAGTAGTTCACAGTCTGACGTCCTAGCAATCAATGACCTATAACTCTAGCCTCTATCTCCCAGGCATATTCATCTACCTGATGTTTAGATTCATGTTGAACAAGCATATGGGAGCAATGGTGGCTTCGTGGAAAGAAGCTGTAGTGTCAAAGACATGAGGTTCAAATTCACCAGCTGGTCCATGAGAGAAAGAGAAGCCATCGCCACCCTTTGATTTACAGCCTGTGAAAACCCACTGAAGTGTCAGCTCCCGGCTGATTCCAACCTGACGGCACCAACAGCACCAACAACAAACCAAACAGTGTCCTGAGCTGCTGAACAAGCCCCTCAGTAGAGGGGTACCTACTAGAGACTGACCACTTGAAAAAGAACAAATGCTGCACAGGGGAGTGGACTTGGGGGGAGGGATTGTATAACAATGAGAGAATTTTGCTTTTATTTTTCAAAGAGAAGAGCGAACTGGGAGGGGGTTGGACAGGGAGAAAAGTGCAACAATGAATGACTGGAAATCCAGTCTCTGTAAACGCCATTAATAATAATAATAATAGTTAGATAAGTAAATACATGTCTAGAGAAGCTCCTGGAGTCTAATAAATGCTCACCATGTTAAAAAAAATGAAAAAGGAATACTTCACAAGCTTTACCTGTAAAGAGGTTCTACAAGGTCCTTTTCAAGAAAATCATGGTCATTCTTGACAGCCACGATGTTGATGGGAAACTGTGAATCTGAGAGAGGCAGAGAGGAAAAGACATGAGCACTTTGTGACACTGCACTGGCCGCCAGCACATCCAGGTCTGGACCCTCCCCTCCAAATGGTAGGTGTGGTGGGACTGCTGAAGACTACAGCGTAGGGGGTGTTGTTTTTTTAACAAAATCATGGCTTTTTGGTTTACTTTTATAAAAGAAGCACTTCGACTTGATTATGAATAACAGGTGAGCTTCTTCACCAATCATTTTTGTTTCTATATCTTTAATCAGATGGACAAATCTGCACTTGCTTGTTTTTAAGAGCAGAAGGGACATATGAGACTAACCAAGAGCTTGACCTTGGCTGCAACTGGACAGCGGGTGTGAGCTCACTGGCGTCTGCGTCCCATCTTGGTGGTCTCTCAGTGCCTAAATTTCTCCAACTATGGATTGATTCAGTGACTGGGGTAAGCGGGATGGGTGTGTCAGAGGCAGTGAGATTGGCACAGGATAGAGCAGCGTTTAGGGCTGTTGTACATAGGGTCACTATGAGTCACAAGTGACTTGACGGCACATAACAACAACAACATGCCGTTGTACACTTTTTGCACAGACCAGCATCTCAAGCCAACATAAGTTTTCTGAGCACTGAGAAACCAAAAAAATGCACGGAATCATTTGCTTGCAATACTGGCCTTGCTGCAGTGGCCCAGAACCCAAGTGGCCAGGCCTCTCTGAGTGGTGCGTGTGTTCCCTAGGGTTCACGTACCCTCGTAGAGCTGGGAGTACTGTGGGAACCCAGCGGCTCGCAGCCAGTCACATGCTTCCTTCGCTTCAATCTCTGAAAGACACAAGAAAGAGAAGTGGCCAGTTCAACAACCAGTACACACTTCAGTCTGCCAGGGACGCCGGTGAGTGTGGTGTCCACTGATCATCAGGGACTCTCGTTCTCAACTGAGTCTGTGCAAAGAGCCAATGCCCAGAACGGGGTGTCTGGGGAGCAGGCATGGGGCTATGGAGAGCCCCCCAGGACAGCCCATGAGTACCTGAGTAAAACAAGACCATGGGCTACAGAACCCAAAGGCTGTACATGTGGCACAGAAAAAAGTTTTCTTCCTCCGTCAAGCAACCAGGGGCCCAGCCAGACAGAGAGAACACTTCCTAGTCCTTTTTGATAGAAGATTTTTATGTTTCAGACATAAACATAAGTCACCTTTCCTTTGTTTTCTCACACTTTGGATCATGAAAAGACTAAAATCAGACTGAAACTCACTGGTGTGACGTCAACCCAATGAGCCTGTCGTTGGAGTGGAACTGCCCACTGGGGTTTCTGAGGTTGCAAATCCTTATGGCAGAATACCACCTCACCTCTCTCCCACAGAGCAGCGGCTGCATTCACCGGTCAGTCTCCCATCAGCAGGTGCATGCTGCCTCTCCACCACGGCTACTGCTGCTGCATGCTGACTCGGTGGTAATTCACAGTGACCCGGGGTGCAACAGGAGACCCGTGGCCGCCCTGTCTATGCCGTCCTCACGCTCGGTGCTCGAGCCCGCTGCTGACCACCAGCGCCTTCCAGCCTTACAGGCACGCCTCCGGCAGGAAGCAGACCATGTGCCACTGTTACACAGAAGGGCCCCGTGGCCAGTCACGCCGGGAGCAGGAGACCAAGTCCTTCTAGCCTGAGAGCTCCACTGAAAGCTGCCCACCTGGTGACCTTGCTGGCCCATGGGTGACCATGAGTGACCCTGCTGGTCCATAGGTGACCATGATGGGTGATGGATGACCTTGCTGGCCCATGGGTGACCTGCTGGTCCATTAGTGATTCTCCTGGTATTGGAAATACCCACGATGTTGCTCCTCTCATCACGGCAGCATCCCCCCCCCCCCAGCATGGCAGACTGACCGAGCGTGGAACTGGGCACTGCCCCCACTGTCAGTCCTCCTCAGTTGCCAAGGTGGGACCCACTCAGAGCTGCCCCTCCAGTGGGTTTTCAGAGACTGTGAACCACAGTGGAAGACATAACCCTCCTTCTCCCACAAAGTAGCTGGTGGATTTGAACCGTCTGCCTTTGGGTTGGCAACTCAAGTCCTTATCCACTTGGCTACCAGAGCTCCCTGGACAAATGAAAATACATTCTCTCAAGAGAAGAAATTTTTATGCTACAAAAAGACACATAACAGTATTTCTTTAATTTTTATTAATAAGCAGAAGACCAAATGCATTACTTAAAAACCAGCAGCAGCTGTGACTATTTTGATCACAAGGCCTGTCTTCTGAAGTGTTTCTGGATGGATTTGAACCACCAATCTTTAGACTAGTTGTTGAATGCCACCGAATTGATCCCCGTTCACTGTGGCTCCCTACGAGAGAGCACCGAACTGCCTGAGCCACCAGGAGCTGTTCCTGACTTGAGCACAGGGTAACGACTCTATCACAGGGCACAGTGTGAGGTGCCGCAGCGAAGCTCGTTCTCAGGATTCGAGAAACAAAGGGGTGTTCTGAATGGAACTGACCCAACAGCAGTGGGGAGATTCGGTTTGGTGCAAGGACGAGGCTTGCCGGCACAGCGGAAGCTGCACAAAGCTTCCTAAAAGACCAAAGCAGACGAGAAGCCATGAAATCAGTGACAGATCAGAGGACAGTGAGCTGTCCAGAAGGGATTGGCTCTAAGCTGTCGAGCTTGTGGTCTTTTTGTTGTTTGCACAAATGTCCTCGCATTTCTGTTGGACAGACTGGCCCCAGTTAGGTAAATCTTAAATGCTAATTAAAGTTCCCCCAGTCAGGGGTGGGGGAGGAGGGAACAGCGCACAGGGGTCTGCACGATTTTGTAAGTGGACTTGAGAAGCAAGTGTTGTTTCCTTCATTGAAGCTGGCCACCTTGGGGGCCCCATGCCTGAAGATCACGGTGCTAATCCGGTGAGGTGACTCAGACGTGTAGATGTCTGTGGTGCACACAATCATCGCCATTACCCCTCAGCAGATGGCTTAGCATTCCACGAGGCTCAGGGGCTGTCTTTGAGTCATTTATATGGTGGTAGTTCCAGGACTGAATGTCTCAAGGGAAGGCCTGCTTCCAGTAAGGTGTATCTCTTTAGTCATGTCTGAGGCCAGCCTGGTAAAGACCAGGGCTAGGATCCCTGCTATGTCTATGTGAATGTCGGTGCTCTGAACGATCGAGTCGGAACCGACCCAGAGCTGGCCCTCTAGCAGCTCTTCAGGGGCCGTGCATCGCACAGGGGGAGACTGCCCCTTTTCTCCCAGGGAGCAGCTGGTGGGATTGAACCACTTGCCTTTGGGTTGGCAGCACAACTCCTTACCACTAAACCACCAGAGCTCCCTGTCTGTGTGGTTATAGGAGGCCGTAAGTAAGAGCTTGGCTGCTAATCAAATGGTCAGCAGTTGTAATCCACTCAGTGGCTCTGGAGCAGGAAGCCCTGGTGATCTGCTCCTGAGAGGACAGCCTAGGAGCAGCCTAGGACCGCTGTCACCTGGGGTCACTGCAAGTTAAATATCTGATGCACCCGCAACAACAATACCACAGATGTATATGAAAGATGTGATCATCAACATGGCATTGAGCCCTGTGTCAATCATGCTTCTGTGCTAGCAAGACTATTCATCTTACACACTTCAGACACACTCTTCGGAGGGACCGGTCCCTGGAGGAGGACATCCTGCTTGGCAAAGAGGTCAGCCAAAGAGAGGCAGCCTGTCAATGCCATGGATTGACACGGTAACCGCAGCAGAGGCCTGAGTGTGGTGGAGACGTGGTGGACAGCGTGCTCCACTGAGTTCACAGGGTCGTCCGGAGTCATCGTGGGCTGACTGGCTCCTCCGACAACAGCATGAGGCCCCTTTGATTCAGAATCCCCTTGACCTCCCTCAGCAGTGACAGCAGCAAGATGGGACAGCGGCCAGGCAGTGGCAGCTGACCAGAACACATTGTGGAAATGACTACATCCAAGACATGTATCAGGTAGAATATTTTCCTCACACCGACAACATTCCTTCCCTGTGACATTGCTTTATTGTCACTGGGCACCACAGATTGCACTCTGACACACAGGGACACTACATGACAGGATAAAGCTGACCTGTAAGGGTCCTGGGCAGCATCTTTGTAACAGAAGATTGTCAGATCTTTCTCTCATGGAGCTCTGAGGGGGGATTGACCCCCCTCCCTCCACTTAGCGTGTCTAACCACTGCACACCCAGGTCTCCTCAGGCATGCCCTAGAATGAGGGTCTTCCTCCAGACCAGTCCTGATGACAGATGGACAAGGGCGACTGCAGCCACATATCAGGAGCACGAGAAATCAGCTTCTGTGCTGTTTTACGCAACTAGAACTTGCAACACCTGTTACAGCGGCAACAGCTGGTACAAACTGACACAGAGCAGGTACACACCCTGCAGAGGGAAAGGATAGACTACTCCCTCAACTGGAGCCTGCGGTGAGGTCTCCATAGTGAGTCTCAGATATGTGCACGGCCAAGAGAACGTTCCTGTTTGGGATCCTGCATCCTGCCTTCCAGTCCGTAAGAGTTAAAGAGCCCTGTCACGCTCATCTCAGATGCGCAGAAGCATGCGGGCGTACCTGTACATACCTGCACATACCTGCACAGCCGTGCGTCCTGTGCTGGCAGAGTCTGGAGGGAAAGAACAGTGTTTTCACACTCACCTCTCAGGTGTGAGGATGGGGGGGCGGGCGGAGAGAGAGAGAGAGAGAGAGAGAGAGAGAGAGAGAGAGAGAGAGAGAGAGAGAGAGAGAGAGAATAGATATAAAATAAAAAGGAAAGGAAAGAAACCCATCTACAACCTTCCTGCCCCAACCCATCATGTGCTCTATCAGCCAATCATCTCGATGTCTCAGGATGACTGCATTTTTGCACAGCACACACAGCACCCCGCTTTCTGACACAGCACATGCAGCACTCTGCTTTCTCACACAGCACCCCGCTTTCTGACACAACACATGCAGCACCCAGCATTCTCAGGCTGTGCAGGCACTCGCACCTGCTAACTCCCAAAGAGCTTCCCTGAGAGGCACTCAGCTAAGTGACTGACCAGAATGAAGGTTGGGGGCCATAGGGTGACGGGGATAACCGGAGCCCACATAGTCGCAGTGATCCCACATGCAGTGACCCTGCCAAACCGGTCCATCGGCCCCAAGGGACAAAGGTGCTCTTGACCCTCTCCCCATGGCCTCACATGCCTTTGAAGGCTGGACGATAATTAAGAAGATGGAAGAAGAGTGGACGTCTTTAGATTACGGTGTTGTGAAGAACACAGACTCCACTGGGGACACCAGAAACGAAGAAATGTGTGTTGGCAGGGCAGCCAGAGGGTTCCTAGGAGCAAGGAGGCCAGGTCCTCTCACATCCTGTGGGTGCGTTAGCAGGCCGGCCAGTCCCTGAAGAACAGGACTGTGGTAAATGATAGGGCCAGTGAAGGAGGGGGAGTCCCTCAACCAAGTGGACCAACACAGTGACAGACAAATGGGCTCGGATACAGGGACCACCGTGGATGGCGGTGTCCTGTCGTGCATGGGGTCACTGTGAGCTGGGCACCTCACAGCCCCGATCACTGTGGAAGCTCACTAGCACTGACCATCTGGCTAGCGGCCTTGTTGGGAGGAGAGTGGCAGGGTCTGGAGATGGTCAGGTCTCCTCCTTGGTCCTCTGGCCCCTCTAGAAAGAGGAATAAGATCTGTGATGACTGAGCTGATGTCAGGTACAGAGAAGAATCTAAATTCTACAAAGTCAACCAAACTGTAGCTCTCAGGAGAACCTCACATGGCCACCTGTGTCACAGAGAACCTCACATGGTCACCCCGTATCAC